AGAGGACTGATAAGGCCCTGGCTCCCAGCGGACAATAAAGGAGGCCGCTTCAACAATTCAAGTCCTCCCAGAAGAGCTGTAGGTGAGCATGGACGTTGCTGGTTAAGTCTATCGGTTTTCTCCTGGATACAGGAACCTCTTATTCAGCCCTATAAGCCTTCTCAGGTCCACTCTCTTTTCACTATTGCTTAGTTGTTGGGCTTGGCGGAAAACCTCATAAGCAGTTCCTTACTCCCTCTCGGGACTTCCTGGCTGTAAAACAACTCAATGGTAAATGGAAGTTGGTCCAGGACTTAAGAACAATAAATGTCATAGTTGTGCTTCTACATCCTGTGGTTCCTAATCCTTATACTATACTATACTATACTATACTATACTATACTATACTATACTATACTATACTATACTATACTAAGCAAAGTGCCAACCAATAAGCCTTTTAAGAACTATCTTCCCTCTGTAACTTGGTTTCTGCCCCTGTTAGAACCTCTAGTTGGAATATTATTGCTTTTAATTTTTGGCTCATGTGTTTTTAGTTGTTAAATTTGTGTCTTCTAGGCTGCAACAGTTTCATGTTAAAATTATGCATCTCCAAGGATTTGAACCTGTATCCCTAAGCACAAATGTTAACAGTGCATCTAAATTTGAAAATCAATCGTCACAACAGTCTACGTGTTTCCTACCTACTGCCAAAGGGTCCCTTGAGTAGTAAGAGAAGATCTTCACCTTGGGACCTACAATGCCCTTTTCCAGCAGGAAGTAGCTAAGAGAATGCAATGCTCCCCTCCTAATGAATCACGGTGAAATCTCTCTTGGGGGGAGTGACTGGGAATGGCAAAGGACATGCTGACAAGGAAGATCAACCAGAACTACATTCTGTCGCATTATTAATACTTATGAAAATACTTGGTCTGCAACAGTAAGGATGATACAGAATAGGGCCGGGTTGTTCACAGGTCACTGTCATACTGGACTTAATAGCATCTAACATCTGCACTTGGAATAAGTCAACCTTCTTGCCATGTCCTATAAAGTTCTGAATAATCTGTGCTTTGGACATTTCTCTATGGTCCAGTTCTTAGTTTCGTGAAAGGCACCAAAATTTTTGCATTTTAACATTTGTATATGGTCCACCCTGTCTTCTTCTTCTTTTTTTTTCCCACCCTGTCTTCTAAAGAAGTTTTGGTGGCATAGCCATAGCAAGTTACAATGCTAACCAAAAAGTAGTGCTTTAAACCCACCAGCTGCCTTTCAGGATAAAGACTGGCAGTCTCCTTCCATTAAGACTCCAGCCTCACAGTAGCAATAAGACAAGAGAAGAAAATAAGAGGAATCCAAATTGGAAAAGGAGGTAAAATTATCTCTCTATGCAGATGATATGATAGTATACTTAGAAAACCCTAAAGACTCAGCAAGAAAATTATTGGACATGGTTGACCAATTCAGCAAAGTAGCAGGATACAAGATCAACATACAAAAATCAGTTGGATTCCTCTACTACAGTGACAAAGAGAATGCAGAGCTGGAGCTAAGAAAAACAATACCCTTCACAATAGTTAATCGCAAGATTAAATACTTGGGAGTAAATCTAACCAGAAGCACAAAGGACCTATTCAAAGAAAATTCCAAAACATTACTACAAGAAACAAAAAGTTATCTGGAGAAGTGGAAGAATATCCCTTGCTCATGGACAGGAAGACTCAATACTGTGAAAATGGCAATACTACCAAAGGCAATTTATACGTTCAATGCAATCCCAATAAAAATACCAATCTCATTCTTTAAGGGGATGGAAAGGTAATCTCTAGTTTCATTTGGAATGGAAAGAAGCCCCGAATAAGCAAAGCACTCCTTAAAAAACAGAAAAAAATGTAGGAGGCATCTCTCCTCCTGATTTCAAATCCTACTACACTGCCGTGGTGGTAAAGACAGCATGGTATTGGTACAATGAGAGACACATAGATCAATGGAATAGAATTGAGAACCCAGAAATATGCCCATCTACCTATGGTCAACTGATTTTTGACAAGGAGATGAAATCAGTTAAGTGGGGAAATGACAGCCTATTTAACAAATGGTGCTGGTAAAACTGGAAAGCTGTATGCAGAACACTCACAACAAGATCCACACCTCACTCCATATACAAAAACCAACTCAAGGTGGATCATGGACCTAGGACTAAAACCAAGGACTATAAACTTCATTCAAGAAAAGCGTAGAAGAACTTTAGTGGTCCTAATCCACAACATAAAGTCTTCCAAGTATCCTGAAAAATCTACAACCAGGAGAAGATAAAATAGATGAATGGGACCTTCTGAGAATCAAATCCCTATGCACATCCAAAAACTTCTCCAATAGAGTAAAAAGGGAAGCCACAGACTGGGAAAAAATATTTGGTAATGACAT